ACTAGACTTGATGAGAAATATAACATAAACATATACTGCACTAAAGCAGAACTCACACAACACACTCTACTGAAATGCCAGACTATATATCTCTGGCTGACTTCCACAGACTCAGCAAACCTCAGTGAACAGGCAGAGTACAGTTGTCCAAGGAGGAAAAAGAAAACATCAATACTAAAATTAATTTAAAATTAAGCTGTATTTCAGCTGAATGAAGCAAATACGGCACTTATTGTTCCAAATAATTATCGTAACACAACATGGCTTCAAAGAGAAAGGCCTCTACCCCACTAACAGCTATGTAGTTGATGTTCATTATTACAGGGTTAATGGGTCATGGATGCAATATTGAGCTGTGTCAGACCACATGGAAAATCGTTCGGGTCGCTGGCTGTACAGAGCAGGGGGGGAACCACAGCTGAACTTAGCAGAGAGTCCAGACTGTGGGGAAGTACAATGAGCAAATAAAGAGTGAAATCTGGAGCAGAACAGTTGAAGGGGTTTCAGGCCGGTTCAATCTTTCACAGTAAGCACTCCGTTTTTTTCTTAGCATAGCAAATACCATACCTTATCCAAAATACCTTGCCGTAATGCTCTTCTAATACAATAATTAAATTATTTAGCTGTAGGACATTCTTTAGCAGGTTTTAAAATCTATTTTACCTTCACAATATGTAATTAAATTATCTAAATGCTAAATAAATGAAGAAATGAGGTGTGAGTCGAGAATTGCACAGCACTCTTTTAATAAAACGATCATTGTTAATTATATGACTCAAAACGAACTGTAATCATAATCAAACTCCAGTCGTACTTTTCTACCTGACATTTTATATTGTTAATAAATTGGAAGAAACACGACAGTCATAGCTGTCAGTGAAGTTTGTGTCACTTCGGTTCATGTTTGCCTCCGCGGCCTTTACACTGACTTTAAAACAAGCTGATACCACAGCAAGCCGACTGAAAATCGGACTCTTAACTATTACTGCAGTCAGTTTTAATCCACTAGCAAACTAACGTATAGGCAGTGAGCGTAGTACAGTACAGTCTGATACTGTACACATACCGAGGCTACCACGGCTCATCACTCAGGTAGAAAACAATAAAAACTCACCGGGCTCAAAATCGGGGATTGTGGCCTGGTAGTCTGCTCCAACACGCATTCCTACATCTGGAAAACACAAACAACAACCACGAAAACAGTTTAATTCAACTAGTCATATTCAAAACACGGACATCGGGAGCGGTAAGAAGCTGTTCGAGGCTATATCACCGTGTTCGTCGTCGCTGCCACTTTCGTCAGAAAAATGTCCGTTAGAGGCTGTGGATGGACTTTTGGTGCCATTTGAGCGACCCTTCCCTAAATAATCCGAGCCCTTTTCCATCATGCCCGGCATCTCTGCGCTCTGATTCACCGATTTTAGCTGCTATGTCGGGAAATAAAATGTCAGCAGGAGCTGGACGCTTTTCTTTTGCTGCTGTTTATTTCGTCGCCGCAGCTCTATCCGTGTCGCTGTAACCCTTCTCGTGACTCTCACCGTGCTTGCACGGTTAATTCCGGCTGCGATATGCTATGTTTAACAACCGAGCAATCTCTTCTTAGTTTTTAGCAAATCTTTAATCCAAATTGTTCCTCCGAGGGATATTTTAGTTGCGTAGACCTGTAGCTGGGGGCCTAACCATGGCGGCGGAAGTCTTTTTACGCACCTTTGGGTGCGGTAGTGCGACTCCTGCTGCTGCGGTACCGTTGAAATGAGATCCCTCCGCCGAGACAAACTGAAGAAGAAAAAAAACAGTCAAGAGGTTTAGTGCCAACAAAATGCAGATTCAGCATTAGGATAACGCAACGGTGAATGCAGAATATCCGGAAACTGTAAATATTACCAATAAATCACATTGTAAATGTCATAATTTCAAATAAATTCAAGTCAGGTTATTCTTATATCGAATGTCAGGTTATTACAGGCTGTATATTGTATGTCCTACCACTGACAACACTTAATGATTATGCGACCTGTTATTCTTGTTTAAAATTTGCTTATTAATTACCCTTCTGCGTGGACTCTCTGAGACCAGTAGAGAAAGATCCCGCACAACAATGAAGCATTTAAACGGCAATGTAAGCTAAAGGAATCCACTAACACATAATATCTGTAATAACGAAGATACTTGCAGGAACATAAGCCTTCAGACTCCCTGTGATTTATTAGTTTGAAAAAAGTGTTTGGCCCCTTCAGGATTTTCTATTTTTTTATATGGTCGTCACACTTAAATGATTCAGATCATCAAACAAATTTAAATATTAGAGAGAAAAAAACACAAGTAAACACGAAATTCACTTTGTAAATGGTGCGTATTATTAAGGGGGAAAAATCCTAACCCTACATAGCCCTGGGTGAAAACTAACACAGGGCCATGTAAGTTGATGACAAAGTACCTGTTCTTCATCGGCTGGGAGCAAAGCAGTTTTCACCTGAACGCTGCACTATAAGTGTTAGTGATTGTCTCTGTCCTTTAAGGCTGCTTCTCTATTGTTTCTCTGAAGATTGCTAATTCGTCATCTCCTCTGTGCGGAAGCCTGGATGTTTCCCTGGCCAAGTGTTTTTGTGAGTGAGAGAGAGCCAAGGAGGAGATTCTGTGTCTGCATGGATTAAAAAGTGTAAATTTGATTCACTAACAGAGTTACTTTTCACAATTTATAAATATAGTCGGTGATTAATTACTTGATTGAAGATGCTGTAAATAACTTCTATGAGGACTGTAAATAACTGGTCGTGCATCAACATACAGGATTACGTTAAGTATGTGATTGGGTACATTAGCACGTTCGTTAACAACAATGCCAACACCTTTAACATGGTCATTCCCCACAAACACACCCATAAACTGTCTACACTTGGCCTGTACCTCACCTGGACTCTTTGGCTGGGAAGCCTCAGTCTGTCAGTGTTGGTAATAAACCTTCAGCCAGTATTACTATAAACATGGGCACTCCACAAAGAGGCATTTTCAGCCCCATCCGCTACACTCTGTTCACCAACAACTGTGTTACCTATCACAAAGATAACATCATCTTAAAGTTTGTGGACAACACCATCCTGATAGGACACATTACTGGTGCATACAAAGCGACCTACAGAAGGGAGGTCTGATGTCTATGTGCGAGAACAACAACCTCACTCTCAACACAGCCAAGACAAAAGAGATCATAGTGGAAGAAGAGGAGATTCCACCTGAGCTGGAAGTGGAGAGGGTAAGCTGCTTGGGTATCTACATCAGTGAGGATGTGTAATACCGAGTAGTCTGGTATGTTGCCTAAAATCCTCAGCAGTGTCTACAGCTGCATTGTGGAGAGTATCTTGACCAGTACAGTAATGCCAGTGCTATGCACCACAAATGCCTGCAAAGTAGTGAGGACTGCCAAACAATTTTCAAGTTTTCACAACTGATTATTAAGTATTTATTGGCAGCAGACAAACTGGAAAGGATGCCACTGCCTATTGAACAGAATTTTTGTAATATGGAACAATAAAGGCATTCATGTGATTGGTTAAAAAAGTTGGGCCAAGGCAAGGGTTTAAACTTGGCCCTCCCTTTATGGTCTTTGTCCATCCCTTGGTCATGTTTCGTCTTCTGCACTGGGCTTGTCCTGCAAGATAAGAGCAGACAACTCCTCCCACTTCACCACGGCAACAACTCTGTCAGCCCCTGGGAGGAAGGGTGAGAGGGAGAGAAAGAGAGAGAGAAAGAGAGAGAGCTCTTCTCTAAAACTTTTGAATAAAACTTTTGAACAAGATGGAAAAAAGTCCCAAAATACTTGCACTATAAGAAAAATTCTAAAAACAAGCAGCATAGCCTGCTAATCTGCTGTCAAAAAGTTATTAGGCCTTTTTTAATGAAATAAATTGATTTTTACAGTAATCGGCATTCAGTTATTGGTAAAATGGAAACATTCTTATTTACAGCACAGCCTCTGTATCAATAACTTTTTTATCAAATCTGTACCACTAGTACTCAACACCTGTAGAACTAATAACATGTAGGCTTCATTTTGTGTTAAATATAAATCTATTTTATTTCACTCTATTTCTCCTTTGATCAGTAAATTGCAGTTACACCAACATGAATAAATAAATTCACAAACTGAACATCTTTTAAACATACTTTCCAGCTATAAGTTGTATCTCATGTGAATGTGTTCTTATATATGCATTCAAATATTCGCTCGTCTATTGTAAGACACATGTGATCTTGGGTATCATCTGATTCTTAATCCATAAGGTTCAATCTCATGTCGACCCAGCCTTTGCAACTATCACAGCCGAAATTGTGGTTTATTAAAATGGGACAAACAGACGAAAATAAATGCGCACTATCACAATATCATAGTGCCTTTTCCAGTTACGATGACATGGCCGCAAACTCGGTACAGTAGAAATTTAGCTTACAAACGCAGTCCTCTTGTGTGTGTGTGTGTGTGTGTGTGTGTGTGTGTGTGTGTGTGTGTGTGATTTCACTGTATTTGTAAGTTTTTTCACTTAGATCAAACGGTGAACCTGTCAGAGGGCTGAAGACTTGAAAACTATTTCTCTTTGGAAAAGCGAGCGAAATCCCTCACCTCGGGAAACCCAGGTGCAACACTTTGAAGCACATTGGTTCCGTTTAGGTGGCCCCACTTTACATTTTCAGCATAAAGTAAAAAAACACACACATTTGTGTTCACTACAGGCGCAATTACTTACTGTGGTACGTTTTCTTACCGAAATATTATGATCTGCAGTGTTTTTAATCACAATCAGTGACGTGATGATAATGTAATGCTCACTGTATAAAGCATTGATACGCCTCTCTCACTCCTCTGGCATCCACCCTCTCTCCCCACATATGTTTGAAGCTCGCTCTATCACAGCCAGTCTCTGGCCCATCTCGAAGCTTGTGCAGCAATAATCTGCCAATAGCGAGCCTGCTGAGGTGGGGAGAGAGCGAGCACAAGCACATACTATACAGCGTGCGAAGCTCGTGTTTATATGTAATATGTGAGCGGCAGGAAGCAGCTCGTTCTGCTCACTGCAGAAGGACGGCAGGATGGCGAGAGGACGGCGGGGTCTCGTGGCCCCCCAGAACACGTTTCTAGAGAACATCGTGCGCCGGTCCAACGGTAAGATACGATCCGGTTCTGATCTATTCTGCACCTGGCTACAAATGGTGATAATATGTTTCTTATATATAATGTTTTGTGATTCTGTTGCTCATTTCGCCTTCAGGCATAGCCACATAAACACACACGGGCAATTGCTAAAAACATAAGTAGTACTGAAACCACAAGTAATTATGG